CTTAGCCAAAATTACTATTTACGTATTAGCAGTCAAATTTTTCAAATTTTGGGGTATTTGACAAATGCGCCGTAATGTAATATTGATCAAACAATGTGCTGTAATAGTAACAATATTTTTTTTATATACTGATCACGCACTAACCATACCGAAATCAATAACTTATTGAATTCGGCCGAATAGACTTCGGCGAATTTTATTATTATTTCTCCAAGTTTCTGATTCGGCCAATGCCAGGTGCGTGAGTTACAGCTATTTTCATAATTTCTGGAACACCTGCTCATTACCCTTGGTCGTTCGGTAAATTACCTAACTCTCCGGAAATTACATCACTGCCTCTGGACTGAAGGTCCGAAGACAGCAATGTAGTTTCCGGAGAGTTAGGTAATTTACCGAACGACCAAAAAGATTTCGGTAATGGGCAGATTATGAAAATAGCTGTAAGTCACTTTTTTTTTTTGTCGTGGCAAAAAATGTCGAGATCACATGCTAAATACTGAAATATCTAATTGCATTTTTTTAAGAAAAAATTTCTTTGCATAATTTTTAACATATTGATTCTAATTCTAACTTATAGCTCATGAACTTTTATTCGATTTTTTTATTTATTTACACTTTACACTTGTCTGTTCTAATTGTTTTTAACGGATCCCTGCTCCTGCAATCCATGGGAAAATTTGAAATACAGTATATAAATTCAAATTTTCCGTGCCATGCTAATACTAATTTAGCAAGTGGCATGCCATTTGGCTTACCAGGTTCGCTACCTGGTAACAAATTACTTGGATAGGAAATAATTTTTACATCACATCCAATTTGGATCAAATGTATATAATAGTCAGCCCATAACGGTAACAGATAATGTTCACTTTGTTTCCGCCAACTCAGATAATATTTTCATACTTTCCTCGCGCCATACTTATAACCGCGTCACATTTTGTTTCGATAAGTATGAAAAAAGCCACCAAGAATGACTCTAAAAAAAGAGCTGCTAAAGAAAGCGATGAAGTGAGTTCTGACAGGGAGGAAGTTTCTTCCAAAGAACCTAAGCAAAAGAAAGTTAAAACCACCACCACTTCTTTACCCCTCAATACGAAAATGCCTGAAGAATTAGAGTTCCAAAAACCTTCAGGAACTATTAAGCTCGCGTCATGGAACGTTAGCAGTTTGAGAGCAGCTTTAAAGAAGGTTACAAAGCTTTTAAAATATATATATATATTTTATGTGTTTTGTATATTAAATATTGGGTTTTAATTTTTTTAGGGGTATCATACATATGTGGATGCCGAAGATGCAGATATTTTGTGTCTTCAAGAAACGAAAGTCAATGAAAAAGAATTTAATGCTGTCGATACCAAAAAATATAAATATAATTGGTGGGGATTTGAGAAAAAAAAAGGATACGGTAAGTTTGATTCTGACAATTTAAATTTTTCAATCATAAATTTTAATGCTATTTGGTTATTTAACAGGTGGAATTGCTTTATTCTCAAAGATTGAGCCAATTTCGGTTGTTTTTGGCCTCTCTACACATCCCGATCCTGAGATTACCAAGGGTCGCGTCATTACATTGGAATTCGAGACATTGTATTATGTAACTGCCTACGTGCCAAATGCGGGAGAAAAACTCGTTAGATTAAAGGAGCGTGAAACTTGGGATGAGGCCATGAAAGAATATTTAACGCAACTAGATGAAAAGAAACCAGTCATCTGGGCAGGGTAATAGTTATTACATATACCAGTGATCACGTGATTGAGCGAATAGTATATCTTTTAAAATGCAACTTTTTATAGAAGCAATATTTCAAGAAGCTTTGTGATAGCTCTATACAGTCATGAGCTTTGGAAATATTACTTCTATAAAAAAAAATTGGTTTAAAGTCTATATGGTATGAGAATATATTCAACAATATCAAAAATCGCCAAACCTTTTTTATGCTTGGAAACTTTTATAGAGCTTATGCAGTTATATTTTAAAAAGTTGCCGATTTGATAAATTGAAACAAATCACGTGATATATATAAAACTTTCAACACCATGAGATTTGAAAAACATTAATGCTTGTTCCCTTTTTTAGAGATATGAATGTTGCCCATAAAGAAATTGATTTGGCGCGTCCAGCAACTAATCAAAAGTAAATTATAAATTATCAAATATTGTATTTTTTATACCTCAAAGTTATGTCTCATTTCAAATATTTTCATATTTTAGGACTGCTGGATTTACAAAAGAAGAGCGAACCGGATTTGACAAAATTTTGAATGGAGGAAAAGACACATTTATTGATACTTGGCGCCATATGCATCCGGACACAACAGGCGGTTACACTTACTATTCCTATCGATTTCAGTGCCGCACTAAAGGTCTTGGCTGGCGTTTAGATTATCATGTTGTAAGCAAAAGATTGTTGGATAGAGTGATCGAAAGTGAAATCAGGTATGAATATATATATTTTTTGCCCATTCATCATATGAACATCTTTGTAATTATTAAATTTTTTTATTATTTATTATAGAAATGAATGTTACGGAGCTAGTGATCATGTGCCAATAGTTTTAATTCTCAAGGGTGAATCGATATAATGCATGTTATGAATAAGTATAAGTACAAGGGAAAGCCTCAAATTATTATGGTATACAAAAGAAATCACAATTAATATGAATAAAGCTTGCTTTTTCAAAAATCTTTAAAATCATCTTCGACACCATTCATAATTTGAAAAAAGAATTGAATTACATTGTTTGTGAAATGTAAATAAAATCCATGATACAATCTTCTCACGCCATAATTATCCAACCAACTGCGTTGCCTACGTACTGAGCGTCTTCTATGATTTTCATGCCTGGGTATAAACGTTTGACTAATACCCTCTTCAACTATAATCCTGTAAATAGCATCTATCATACTTACATAAGGTGCTTTACGAGCTTGAACAACAGTTTCAAACGATTTTCCCGGAGTACGAGAGACAATTTGACAATGTAATCTTTTACGAATTGTCTCAATTGGGAGCGTAATAAGAAGTTGAAGTGTATTTAAGCCCAATTGAGCAAGTCCATATAATATAGGTGAATCGGCTGCGTTAATATGAAAGACACGATCAATAATCAATGGCACAGTACATTCTAACAGAGGGCAAACTGTGTGATACACAATTGAAGGGATAAGATTATGTGACCAATACAAAGATGTGAATCCCTCTTCTTTAATCATTTGACGTAAGCAGTCAAAAGTACCAGTGTATTTTTTATGAAGGGGTGACGCAGTTTGAGCGACAAGTCTAAAGTAGGAAACCAATGTACCAAATACAAATATCAGTACTTTTTGAGCTCTCGTAAGTCAAAAATAATACATTAAATACATAATGGATATTATATGTACAGAACACGTAATAGATTTTATTACCTTGTTCTTGCCACCTCTAAAGGACTCAAAATAACACCAGTTACAACATGGCTAACTATTAAAGTAGCAATATTGGGGCCAACACGATCCAGATAAATCAAAGGAATAGTATCATCATATAAGTCAAACGCGTCATTTAATGCACCTTCGAGAGTTGGTTGAAGAAAAACATGACCCATTTCATATAACCAATTTGTGAATTGTCCTGCATTTAAAAAAAATATAGTTATGCCCGGGAAACACACTTAACAATCATTAAATATAAGAAAAAATTTACCTTTCCACAATGACTTCCATCCTTCCGTTGAATGCCCCTTTAATGATTTTACAGTTTCCCATACACCATGCTCTAGCGGGGGAACCATGTAAGCTGGACGCGTTGATTCATCATAAATATTGGTATCGATGTAACCATGTATATCTGCGCTTTTAGGTTGGCGAAAACCTGGTGAATTTGAATCAAGAGTTTTGCGTGAAGAGCTATAAATGCCTTCGTCATCTGATGCCTATTTCATAAAGGTCGTGTGAATCGTCTAGAAAAAAAACAATTTGTTAATGATATTAGAAGTGTCATACTTCGTCGTCCGAATCCAAAGCAGCATTATCGCTCGCAGCGGTAACTGGTACAACGTCTTCATTAGGTAAATATTGAACTTGCAACAGGGTTTTTGCGACCTCAAAAGGATTTGAGATCGCCGTACTAATATATTTAAGTAAGCCTAAACTAAGTAATTCTTTGATAAGGCCTTGGGATTCTTTGTTCATTAGCTTATGACTACGATCTTCCTGGTTGCTTGTGACATTACTAAGCGGTGTATAATAGCGATCCGTATTTTGAGGAACATAGTAAGGTCGTAAAGGGTGAGCTGTTGTCGTTTGTGGAAACGGTGTATATGTATACCTTGGTTGTGCATCAGACGCTGATGCCATGATCGTAGTCTAAAAGAAATGAAAGCAACAGAAAGTTAGTTTTTATTTGGCTAATTGACAAGAATTCTGATTGGCCTAAAACGAAATATTAACTTTTTATGGTTACATCCGATGTTCTTTACGGTTTTGATAATCTTATCATAACGATAACTTTCACACGTGAGGCTCTAATTAAGTACTCCCTGCTATAACCATGAGGTACGACTCATTATCATATATCAACCTATACGTATCGGTATTCTGGTATGGTAGTATTAAAATTGGAGGTTTTTTTATACAATTCCTAAAATGTAGAACATCTTACAAAATTGAACACCCACAAAAATGCACGGCAGATTTGTTTGATGATTCTCTTTAAAATTTAATTTTTTTTTTAACAACTTTAATCAAAAGTTTTTTAATCATTATAAAATTATTTTAACAGCTCTATAAAGAATATAGTATTTTTGATTATGGATGTTTGTACTTTATATTAAAATTTCATAAAGGACTTTTTTTTTTTTACCGATATGCACATCACTAATTAGTAATATTAATTATTCACTATGGTACTTAAAATAATCTTTATATTAATCTTTAACCTCAACAATGAAAATAGAACATGCGCTGATTTAATATTTATTAATTAAAAAAATTTTTAACCTCAACAATGAAAATAGAACATGCGCTGATGTAATATTTATTAATTAAAAAAATTTTGACTGTTTTATTGATTTTTCTTTTGGCGATAGACTTTCGGTGTGAGAACTAAACGAATCTCTATACAGTAATTGTTAAATTGAATAGCATATGTTATTGTAAAGAATGCAAACAATATACTGTTTTCAATCGGATGCATAAATTGGACTTCTCTCGAACATGATGTAGAACAAATACTGTATAAAAGAACTGTGCTACAGGCAGACGCGATGAAGACCAAAAAATTTTTAATATATAGATTTTTTATTTTTATCATGGTGGCTGATGCGTATTGACCAATCAGAATCATGACAGGTATATCATGCGTTAATCTAATAATTCTCATCCTTACGAAATATATTACGGATCTATCGATATATCGATATTATTCGGAATTAAATTATATACTATATATACTTTAAAATACTGTATATTATCTAACAACTTTTAATGCTATAATATTGTTTATCTTATCAAATTTTTTATCTTTAATACAACATTTGGTTATATTTTTTTAATCCGGGAGTACATTAGTAGTAGCTCTGAAGTATAAATTACTTTATTTAACTTATATAAAAAACTAAGCGTAATACTCTTAG